ACATTTTCGCAGACTAGAATGAAGAAACTCATAGTAGAGCGCAGCAGCACCGTGTGGCGGAGTAGCGGCTGGCAGATGTACAGGGTTGTGGGAGTGGCATGATGGGAGGGGAAAACGCCAAGCGCGGCCGAAGGATCCGAGAAGGGCGCGAAGGATCGAGGACATGCGGCAATTGATAGAGGGGAGCAAACGGGGTCAAGATCATTTAAGAAAACGGGGCATCGGTTTTGGGAGTGTTGCTCAATGATCGGCTTGAATAGTTAAAGATAAATCGGAAAATGCATGGTTGTGTTTGTCCAGTCCCTGCATCCCTACTCTCTACAGTATTCGTCGTTTCAACAGAAACCACCAATTAAGTTGCTAACACGTGTACACGTTGCTCCCCTAAAAGTGACAACAGAAAAAGGTCCCCTCAATACAGTACAGTTCAGATCACCAGGGTATGACAGGAGTTGTTCAAGCTCAACGCAACAATCTTTCCCAATTTAGTTTGTCTCTTACCAGTCGTCATCGACTGCCCAGCGCCTATATGAACCAGATTTCCCCGGCTTGACTACATTCGCTGACGCTTCACACTTGCTCCCTCATCATCCTACCCTTACAAATCACCAGGAGAAGTCTGCGGAGCTTTCGTTTACGACCCTGCAAAGAGACCTTGGTCTGCCTCTGCCTCCTTTTCTCATTGCTCCTCGGAATGTCAGATGCGCGAATCAGAAAACCAGTGGAGAATCGCCGCGGCACAAGAGGGTCTTCAGAAGATGATCTTCCCATATCTCGGCTCAGTCGCCATGAGAGCACTGCTGTGCCACACCGATTTGAGGAATGTAGTATTCACCAAGGGCAGAACATCTACAAGGCCGATCCAGGGGCAGCCGGGGACAATGCTGAGGGTGTGTTTCTGGGTGATGATACATTGCAAAACAAACTCTGTTCTCCCATCGGCCATCTGAATGCGAAGGACAACATTGCAGAACAAATATCGCAAACTCTTGAACATGCATGGATATCAAAATGCAGCGCGAGACTGATGGCACCAACAGTTACAAAATCTACATCGAAGGCCACGATATGTCCTCAACGTATCGGAGAAGAAGATCTGACGAAGTTGGAGCCTCACCCGCAGAATTGCTCATCAAACATGGCCGGAACTGAAGGGGAGCACATGATTCCTATGCGTGTGTCTATGCCCTCGAACCCATCTCACGCATCCACAATAACCGGCTCGAGGCATCCACATGAGCATATGCATGTCCACTTTATTGACGCTATTTTGGGCAGCGATTGCGATACTTTTGGGGAAGGAAGGACTGCAGACCAAATGGAGTACGCACAGACTAGGACGATTTATGAATCCCCTCCTTCAACTTCGCGTGACGTTGACAATCCAGATTTGGTCCAAGTCCAGATGACACAACACAAGCCTCAGCTTAATATGACGTCCACAAAAATGGAACAGGAAACCATCGGAAGCCTGAATCATGAATCTGAAAATCAGAAAGCCTGCATTCAGGACCGGGCTCGCGTAGCATTCCAGCAAGCTACTGATAGGAACATGCTTTCAGGAACGCCATTCATCACATGCAGTCGAGCTTTTCAGGTCATGGCGAATGTGATGGAGTTTGAAGCGGGGTGCAAAGGATGTACAAACCACCAAGATATTGCCCACGTGCTGTATCGGAAGATTGGACCCTCCAACGTATGTACGGAGGAGCTATTTCTTCAGGCCTATATCGAACTCTTAAATTATGCAAAGGCGCGCAGGCGGAGGCGATGGGGACAGCTGTTTCGCAATTCTTTATGCGAGGGCGAGCAGTCATTAATAGTTTTCCATGCCAGAGATTTGCTTAAGAAAGAGTCGTCCCAGTATGAAATTGTTTGGTCTAACTGGAGCGATCAACAAATGGATGATGTGTTTGAGATGGAAGCTTCTGGTATGTTGGTAGATGAAAATGCCTTCATTCGTGCGGCAGGAAGGGTAGTGTTTGGAGTAAGTGGAGAGAGCATAGATTGAACTGTAGCACGGCCTGGAACAGTTTCAGAACAGTTTCAGAGGCCTGAAACTGTTTCTCCACAACGTAAAAGTGTTGCAATTCGGCAGCGTGAAGACTTGCATGCAAGCAGCATATGATTACATCACTTTTCTTCCGACCTAATCAACGTCCTTGCACTAAAAACAGTTGCATTCTTTTGACAGGAGAGGGACAATAAAACAAAAAAGTGGAGAGGGGGGTTTCCTCGCAAGAAGCGAGGCGGCACCTATCAAAAGATCAAGAGGGAAATCTAAAAAAATCAGCCTTGTCTATGATTGCAAAATTTCATGAGGATCGATTAATCCCTCTCATACGGCCTTTGAGGCCGTACGAGAGGAATTAATACATACTGTACCAACGGTACAGTATTTGCAGATTGAAGTGTGGGTCGAGATGAATTACTTAGTAATTACACTCTGAAGATTACCTACGGTACGTGCCAAACAATAATATAACCACATTTCTTTTCAGACGGTGTCTCAAGTTGTTTCGAGACGCTCGTGATGACACCCAGAAGTGATATGCCATCTACAATATAGTGGCAATTTGATCTGGGTAGACGTTATCAGGGAGGATCTAAGGAATTACAGGTGGCAAGTGTCTTTGTGGTAGTGAAAGCACAAAATGCATTTGTGATGATTTTACAGGTGTACTACAGTACTTAGAAGATTTAGAGATAAGCCAAGCCCATCATTACGTAAGGAATCATTAGGTAGGGCATAGTTACGATATTGTAGGTTGTGGCTGATTAACATATTTCTTCTAGTGTCTATCGGACCGTTAGTTCTCATATGAGGACGAAAGTTATTTCGTTTTTTAGGCAAGCCAATGCGCGACTTCACTTCTGCTTTTTGAAACCAGAACGCCATCACCACAGAGAAATCCTTGCTTGTCAATTCTGGCGAAAACGAACTCGTTGACGCAGCTTTACAGCTGTTCAAAAGAAAAATCGGCTTATAGAGCGCACTTTTCTTTAAGCAAATTTTGTACCAGAAGCATGAAAATATTGCGTTGAGTGCTTTCTATTCGGTACTACGAAGTAACTTTAGAAAAGTTTTTTAAACGAGCCAACCTACTAAAGAAAAATAGAAACTGTGGACATCAAACTTGAAAAGAAATAAATTTCGTCGATTTTTATGTTATGATACCGCATTATCGGACAGATACCAGTAAACAAAGGTTGGCACCGTGAAGTGTGGGCAGCGTCAGAACTGTATCTACACTGATAAATTTAGATGTTCCTTTACGGTTGGAAGGTGGGGGAAGGCGGGGGAAGGCGGAGAGGCGAGCGGCGCGCCAGCAACTGACCCTAAGTAGCCGAAGCGGCTGCACGCAGAGCGAGACGGCGACGCTCGGTTGACGCCAAGTGTTCGACGGTCACTCGCTATTTCCCGTGGCAGCTTTACCGGTGTACACAACGTGAGGATAGGTGTTCCTTTACGGTTGGAGCCCCTGTTCACAGGATTTCATCACGAAGGGAGTAGTGTAGACAATCTATCTACCTAACCAAAAACCAAAGCAAACAATATCATTTCGAGTGCTTTTTGCGAGCAATTCCGTTGTGGGATCATCTGCGAGTGTTGGTGAGAGATAGTAGCAAAAGTTGCGAATTACTCTGAGATAGAGATTTGATATTTACGTACACAGGGCAAGAGATTCTATTGTTGCGAGGTGGCGTATGAAGGACTGAGCGTGTGAGGTAGAAAAGAAAGTTTAAACGAGTACAGTTTGACAGACTTAACCAAAAACAGAGCGGCGGCTGTGAGTTGGATGCGGTGTGCCTTCAGGGAGAGATGGTCACGGAGGCTGGTGATAGTCTTCCGTTATGTACTCTGCAAATGCAAGTACGTGCTCTGTTAAGACCGGCCCTCAGAGAAAACTTGTCGCCTGGACACTACACGTGCCGTCCTTCCACGCAGAGTTTGCAGCAAAGAGTGGTGGTGGTTCTTCAGAGGCTTGTTACAGCTTTCACCAGGCCGATTGCTGGGTTTGACATCGGGAAGCACTGAGGACCTGCAAGGTGTATTCCACTACGTGTAGCATTCGACACGAAGGCAAAGAAATAGAGCTTTCGCGGAAGGGTAAGCATACTGTCAACACCCTGCACAACCAGTACGCAGACGAGATGTTCGCAAATAGCTGTCCGTGTGTTCATCAGAACGGGCAAGTGAGTCGTTGTTAGGACACGCTGTCCAACTGCACTGGCCACGGATCGAGCCCATTCCCCACCGATCCAAGAATCCGCGCGCCTCAGCAAGTCCGTTACTCTCCCAGACCCAATCACGACGTATTCTGAGCGCCGCAGCAGGGCCAAGCCCAGCTAGTTGCACACCCGCCGATAACCCCGCTGCGTCTCTCCCGGCGCCCCAGCACGCGGGAGGCGGGGACACATCCGCATCCGCGCACGTGCGGCCGCGAGACGCTAAAGCGACGCGTCCGCGCCGGCGAGACACGCGTGTACGGCGTACTGTAACGGCCACTTGCGCGAGACGGGTGGCGCGCGCAGGACGGGGAGGGGCGGGGGGGGGGGGGGCGTGGGGCGCAAATATCTAGCCGCGGGGGGATGTCCGGTGGCGGTGCGCGTGGAGACGGGGCGGCTGACAGTGGGCGCGGGCTTCCACTTGCGGAGCGAGTGGGCGCGGCGCAAAGCGAGTGGGCGAGGGCGGCGCAGACTCGGGTTGAGGGAGATGTCAAGGTAAATTACTTGTAAGGGCAGGAGGTGGGCGAGACTGGAAACGCGCATCCCTCAGCGTAGACAGTGTCTGCCTTGAATTGCCGCGAGACTTTCTTGAAGGGGGGTTATGCGACGGCAGCCATTGGCACCGCTCGCCAAACAGGGCTGACACCTTGTCATCTCTCAGCCGGGGGAGTCGTTGATCCTTTATAAATCCCCTTCGCTGGCAGCCTTCTTTCCCGCCCTCCGCTGGCATCCGTCTTTCCCGCCCGCCCCGGACACCCTCGCAGCCCACCATGACGTCCCGCATCCTCCTCCCGCTGCTGCTTCTGTGCGTGCGTCTTGCGGCGGCGGACCGCTTCAACGTGACGGCGCAGCGCTGGAAGCTCTCCACCGGCTCATCGTCGGCGCTGATCGCCTTTGCGAAAACCAATGGCCTGCGCCCGGTCGACGTCGAGGTACTGTCCGTGACGCCGCGGCGCTACGCGGCCGTGTTTGTCGACAACCGTCCGCCCAACTCCATGCCGTGGTTCTGGTACGAGTCGGTCACTTTCGAGGAGCTGACCGAGCTCACGCGCCGCGACGACGCCCGCGCCATCGATTGGGAGACCATCTTCCCGCCCAAAATCATTCCAGACCCCGTATACACCGCCGTCGCAGTCGCCAACGTGGGCCCGGCCGCGAAGGTCTGGTACTACTACACCAATGTGCCGGCAAACGGGATTGAAAGCATTTTGATGGAGACGAAAACTAAGGTCGTGGACTTGGATAGCTTCTTCCCGGGCTTTCACCCCCGCAGGTTGTACAACCTGCTCATGGTGCCTAATGAGGACGCGGACCGCGCGGACTCGTTCGTCTTCTCCGGGCTGGGCGTGCGAGCCATCGAGAAGCTGTTGAAGGACCGTGGGGCGCGACTTGTTGACATGGAGAGGGAGGAGGACGGCGTCTACGCAGGTGTCATGGAGAGAATCGTCGTGCCAGTTAAGTGGCTGTGGGTCAGGGGGTTGACGATGAAGAGGTTGGAGCTTATGACCACGAGGAGGGAGATGCGTGTCTATGATCTCGAGGTGTACACGATTGGGAAGTCTGTTAGATATGATGCCTTGATGATTAAGAATAAGCTGTGAGTAGGAGTCGCCAGTATCTTTTGATTTTCTTGTGTCAAAAGCTCGCTGCAATTCGCCGTTTTCAGTACTGTACATGGTTTGTCTACATTAGAATTGTACATGCAGATCCCAGCAGGTCTTGAAGTCGTCGAGTCTTCCAGTCCTTGAAAGCCCTCCAGTCCGCAAGTGTTGAAGTCCGCCACCGCCCTCGAATCGCAACCACTCGGCCCTCCTCTAACGCCACCGCGCCGTCTCCTCCATTCATATTCCGTCTTATCTCTGCCCCCCCCCCCCCCCCCCCCCCCCCTTTCGCCGCAACGATGCCTATCCCCTCGCTCCCTCAACCTTCATACGACTTGAAGCAGGTGAGCAGGCCCGATGACTTCGGTGAGGGGCCTTGAAGGACGGTTGCCGAGTAATAGGGTTTGACGTGGCTTGTTCATCCAAGTACTGAACTCCTCTAAGGTGACATGTCCTCATATTCTTTCACGCCGAGGCCGACGTGCTTATGCTATAGTTTTGCCGAAAGACAGTGATGAATCGTAATCCTCATGGGGGTGTCTTTACTCGTCGTCGCCGTCTCGTGGGTCTAAGTACCGCTGATGACAGACTGTAATGCTGACAGTCTGTCCTTGCGGTCGGTCACGCGCGCACCTGTCAGAGTCGCATTCAGGAGAATACGTCCCAATAATGGCCCTGGCACCAGAGCCTGTGACCCAGAGCCATACAACTTTGGTCCCAACTACCAGGGCTCATGGCTCCGTAAAATCCTGGTTGACAATTGATTTTTCTGATATTCGCCTCAAACGGCACTCCCATTGGTCCCGGTGGTGGACCTTGTTGGATCCTGCAAGCAAGGCCTCAATAGGCCACTTGTGCAAATAGAATGGGCATGCGCATTTACGAACTGTATACTGTACGCACCTGCGCAGATACGGTATAGGCATTGTCATTGCCAACATACTCAACCATTTATCAAATTATAAATATTTTGGATTGCAAGCAATGTGAATTGAGATTACGAAGTCAAATTGTGCGCTTTCCGTAATATCCAAATTGCGCGGTCTTTTAGGAAGTCTCCCGCTCTTTTCCAAAACGATACAGTAACTTCGGAAGAACAGAGGTCTTCTTCAAAGTACACACCCCACCGCATCAAAAGCCCTTCCCCATGTCTCCCTTTACTTCAACTAACGCAGCTACTGCCCTCTCTCTACTCGCAGATGCAGCGGTAGAGAGAGAGAATGAACTCGAGGTACAGCTGTCTCAACCGCTCCAAGAGGACACTGACGAAGAAAATGGTTCCGAGTGTCCCATCATGGACACTTTTTATGATCAGGGCGGGGCAGAAGGTATCAGGGAGATGACTAACATCTCCCCAATGCAATTTGAAGGGGTTTGGGAGGCGTTTAAGGGTCACATAATGTCCGAATATAATGTCGGACGAGGACGGAAATGTGACAAGACCGCCAAGGATGTGCTGTTCATGACACTAGCCGTCTTAAAGCATGGATCGCAGTGGGATTTCATGGGAAAGATGTTCGATATGAAGGCGGCAACATTTGAACGCATCATTCTAAAGTTTGTCGCAATAATATCCGGACCAATATACGAGCATTACGTTTCCCATCAAGCCAGAAAATGGAGTATGAAAAAGATGGTCGATACCAACGCTTTGTTTCGCAACTATCCGATGGCCCGCTATGCCACCGACGTGACATTCCAGCCATCAAATCGCCCAAGCGGGAACTTGAGCGAGAGTAAGCTGTACTTTAGCAAGAAACATGGCTTGTATGGATACAAAATTGAGGCATCCGTTTTGCCAAATGGGATGGCAATTGGCTGTAGTGCCCACGAGCCTGGTTTTGTATCTGATTTTCGCATTTTTCAGGACATGCGACAGTTTCACAAGGAGCAATTGAAAAAGTGTGCTGATGAATTGGAGCTGGAGGATGATGGTCCAATGGAAGACGAATTTCCACATACATGGGGGATTTTATTAGACAAGGGCTATCAAGGTTCTAAGGAGTTCTGTCGTGCTATCCATCCGACTAAGAAGCCGCGTAACGGTGTTCTGTCACCAGCACAAGTTGCAGAGAATCGACATATTTCAAGCGACCGTGTACTGGTGGAAAATTATTTTGGGAGGATGTCGGGCATTTGGAACGTTGTGGGTCAAAATGGAAATGGTCAGAGAAAATATATGATTCTATATTCATGTTGTGCATGGGGCTGACTAACTGGCATATTCGGTGGAATCCCCTTAGGGCAGATGACGGACGTCTGTACCATAAGATTACCAATCGTTGGTACAAGATTGGTACAACTCAAATCGAAAAACGCAGACGCGTACAGGCGAACTATCGTGAGAAAAGGCGTAGACGTGTTGATATGAAGTTCCGCGCAAATCAAACTACTGAGTAAATAGTGTGTTAGCATGCTGTTATACGCAAAGCATCATCGCTTTAATAAATTCGCTTTCATTATTAGCATATGGGATATTCCTGGAATACCCCACGTATTTGCGGAATTGTTTTGTGCACACAGTAACTACCAAATACTATTGGTAACTCCTAGGTCTTTGAGAAATATCCACATATTAATGTGGGAGCCTCATATTTCCGGATGTGTTCTAATGATGGAATATTTCCATCCATTCTCGATCGGAGCTGTAATGCGATCCGGCATCTTTGAAAAGGTTGCTGAATGTTTCTGAAGTTTCAAAGGTTCCCAAAGTGCTGCCGAAAGTTTGAGCAACTTTTTCTGCGAAACTCAGAAACATACGTAAGCAATTTGTAAACAGCTCGATTAGCTGTAATGATATCTTCCAACTGAGCCACTTTTCCACAAAACCGAAAAGAATCGGCAAACCATTGCCAAAACGTTTGCGGAAATTTTAGGCGAAACTATAAACGTCCGTGCAAGTTTTGGAAAGACGTGGTCACAAGCATAACTGGACCTACAGTGACAGGTATTTCCCGTAGCGATTCCATCATGCTTCGTCCACTGTTGGCAGTGGCGCACCAATGATGTTTAAACGAATAAAAATGCGCTACAACACGGCATACCAGGCGAGCTGAGTCATGGACGCAACACCAGGGGCAAAAATGAGACGGGGCCAGGGTCAGACGTCTCGGAGCGGATGACCGCGCAGGACCTATTCTCCTGATCGCGACTCTGTCAGCGTCTGATGAAGAGAGTTGCGGTCCGTCAGTCCCGGGGGACGCTAAGGGGCGCGCGTGAATGTTGTGCCGGGGTGCGCTTTCGGGTCGGGGCTGCGGGGTTCATGTGGTTGGATGATTTTGCAGATTTCTTGAAAGCGGATGGGTCCGAGCGCTTTTGTGAATAGGTCTGCTGGGTTGCCCGCGGATGGGATGTGTTGCGCGATGATAGCGGCGCCCTGGATGTGATGTTGAAGGTGGTGGTGCCTGACATCGATGAACTTCCTTCTGCGCGTGGGGGCGGAATTTTCCGCGACTTGTATGGTCGATTGGTTGTCGATGAATACTGTCGTGGGGTGCTGTTGTGGGTGCTTCATGTCCAGAAGCAGCCGACGAAGCCATAGCGTCTGCTGGGCGGCGAGCGAGGCTGCTATGTATTCAGCCTCGCAGGTTGATAGGGCTACGACGTCTTCTGGCGCCGATGTCCAGGCTATCGGGGAGTGGCCGATAGTGTGTATTATGCCTGTGAGCGACTTGCCGCTTTTGGCATTTGCATAGTCTGCGTCACTGTATGTGCGCAGGCATATCGGGGCTCGAGCGTGATACGAGATGGCCTTGCTCTTGGTGCCCTTGAGATACCGGAGGAGCCATTTGAGCGCGTGCCAATTTGCTTTGCTCGGTTGCTTGCTGTGTCGCGTCAGCTGGTTGGTAGTGTGGTATGCGTCGTAGCGAGTGCTGTCGACGACATACCGGAGGTCTCCTAGAATGGAGCGGTAGTGGGTGGCAACCGTGGGGGATAGGGGCGCCGTTTGGTTCTCTACGTTCTTGTTTGGCTTTTGCGGCGCGGGGGTTGTTTTTGGATTGCATTCCGACATGTTGTGTTTTGCAAGTATCGTGCTTATGGTCTGTTCTTGCGAGATGTGGATGCTTCCTTGTGCGTCGCGTGTTATTTGCCATCCGAGGTACGAATGAGGGAATCCGAGATTTTTGATTTTGTACTTTTGCTTGAGGGCGGTGAGTAGTTCATCGATGAGTGCTTGGTTTGAAGCGGTGACGAGGAAGTCGTCCATGCTTACAGCGAACAGCAGTGTGCCCTTTGTGTGTGTTTTGGTGAATAGACATGGATCGCTGTCGCATTGCTGATAGCCTTGCGTGATGAGGTGTTTCTGAAGGCCGGCGGTGTAACGGTGGCCGGCGGATCGGCCCCCATATAGGTTGCCTATTAGTTGTTGTAGCATAAACACCCCCAACGGAGAGGGGTTTATGCACAGTTCGACGTAGACCACGTCCCAACGGGAAGACGGGGGTGAAGCGGGACACCTGCTAACGGCACCGGGCAGCGGGCCCGGGTAGCGTGGTAGAGCGGGAACGGGGAGGACGCCGGTACGCGCGAGCGGTTCGACGCCTCGACGCCCCGGCGCGGTACTGGGTAACGATCCAGTACCGACGGGCGGAGGCGGAGCCGACTCGTGGGCGTACCGCGCGCGTCCTCAACCCGCGCTCGGTGCCGCTCTAAGGTAGTTAGCGAGCGCTACCTTAGAAAAAGCGGGAAGTCGGACCTTGACGGTCGGTGGGTGACAAGTCCGTGCTTGCCCTCCTCCACCGCCGCCGGTCCGCTCCATATTTAATGTACATAATAACCTATCATAATAGTACAGTACTGATGTACTGTAGCGACGTACTGTAGCGGTCGGTCGACACTGTAATACTGTCAGCCATCGGGGCTGACAGTACACGTGTGTGCGCGCTCTTCGTTCTGCGCGTACACGTGTACACGTGCCCCCCTGTACTTGGGGTTACACGTGGTGGTACTGTAGAGCATCGAGCCCTACGGTAACCGATCCGATTCTGAGTTGATCTAATCTAAAATAAAGCCCCAGGGGGGGGTTATACTACACGGCCCCCCCCTTAAGCGGGGACGTCCGCGTCCACGGGTGCTTGTAGAGCGTGAGCCATGTCTAACCGCG